ATCCTGGACCTTTAAACAGAGATGTTAAATGGCAGTTCCACGAAAAGAGATCTTGTTGTTGGGGCATTCGATGGCATTCGTTCTTGTGTGCAATCTTCAGCTTGTTGCTCCACCTTTTGGTGCCCAACGCTCTTCATCCTCCCCCCGCAACAAAAACACAAAGCACCGCTCTGAGCCGCTCTGAGCCGCCCTCGGGAGTCCTCCGAGGCCTTTGATCCCTTCGGCTGGAAGGGTGCGTTCAAAGACACCGTGGAGGGCCTCATGGACCGGTGCCTCCCGAGATCGCCGCGCTAAGCGAGTGCCCACGGCCCGAGTTCGCAGGCATCCATGCTCCGGCAGAAGCATCAAGTGCCGGAGACACTGGTTGGCCCACGAGGCTGTTGTGAAGCGGTTTAGAACATGTTAGAACTACATGAAAAACCTGAGTCAAAGCCATTTGCGCTGTCGTCAGTAGTGTTGGATCAGATGACACAACACCCAAGAGATGGTGTACTTGGATTCTCATCACTTCGAAGTCGGGGTTTGTCCCTAGTTTGTTCGCACACACACACACACATGCTATTTCCTGCTGGAACATGACCGCTGGCGTTGCACTTCACGGCCGCGCAGTCCGGTTTCGGGCCCAACCCGCTCGACTCCTCGGCCGACTCCGAGCTGCGTCGGACCGGTGGGAGCTGACGAGCACCAGGACGGCCTGAGTGGTGATGAGGAGCTCGGAGCTCCCAGAGCTAGTGGAGGGGTCAAGGGCGATGCAGATGGATTGACTTATATAAGTGAATCTGAACCACTCGCTTGTTGGAGGTTGCTGGTGTTGATTTTGAAACAGAATGTGGGAGGAGTGATCTTATACGATCTTTGTCTTTTGTTGGTTGAGGTTGAAGTTTCTTTTTGGGAGCGTCGCAGGCAGTTCCCTCTTCTGGCCGGCGGCTTTGGGTTGGAATGGTTTAGGGAGTCCACTGTGTCCTGTGCGATCCCTGCACTTCAGGTCCCTTCTCTGGGAGTGGGAGAACATACGAAGGTACCCCGGTGGGGTACCAATCGACCAGGCAATGTATGTCCATACCGCCCTAAAGATCCTTGGACCTTTTTCTCTTCTTTATTTTTTCACAGGGGTCGAACCCTTGGCTTTGGGGCTCCTCGAAACCCCTGGTTTTTGAGGCTTGCCAAGGACGCAGGACGCTGTGAATCGGGTCGTTTGTTTTCTTTGGAGGGCGGTGTGCTTTTGTCGTGGTGGTGCTGAGATCGTGGCGAGTTTGGAGATCTTCACCCTTTGTTCTCTCAATGTTTCTGATCTTACTATTTGATGGGAGGAGCTTCCTTGATGATTTTCTGGAACACTTTCGTGGATTCCAAGAACTAAGATCCTTCTTTGGCATTTCTTCTTGGTCCAAGCGGCACCCGAAACTCTGAACACGTAGTTCAGTTGGGCAATTTCATATGGATTTCTATAGTTTTTCACGTCACGCAGGCGGAGCAGAGCGGAGCGGAGCGGATTGTGAGGCCCAGCCAAGAAGAGGAGCAGATGGTCGTTGAGGCGGGGGCGTGCGAACCTGTGGAGTGAGGGCTGCAGAACCCTGCCGGACCCATGGGAAAAAGACCTTTCTTGATATATGTCCTCAAGATTCCTGAAATTCCTTGTAGGATACTTGCATTCTTTCATTTTCCGTGTCAGGGATAGCCGGCTTGCATGGTTTTGGAGACACTGAAGGTAGTGGGGGCCAGAACGGGCAGCGACTTTGCATCCATGTAGATCGGTTTGTCACCAAGGGTCACCAGTCACCAGCAACTAGGTCCTAGGTGACTGGAGGTGGGGTTGACGAAGGCGTCTGGTCATGCATCACGAAGACGTCTGGTGGGGCTGTCAATTCAAAAGCAAGACGTCTGTGCTTTTGGCTTCCCTTTACCAAAGGTCTTGTTGCTTTCTGATCCCCTGGGAGTCTTTTCTTTTCTGATCTCTTGAGAGTCTGATCCAGGCGAAAGGATCTCAAGTGGCCTTTGGATGTTTCAGCCAAATGTTCGAGAGGCAGACCACGTCTAGCTGACAGAAACGGAGTGAGAACACCTTCTTGATGTCTGAACGTTCACTGAAACCTCCCCTTCAAATCCGGCATGGCATCCACCCCCTCATGCCGTCTCCTCCCTTCGCGCGCCATCTCCGCTGGCCGTTTTCGGCACACAGCCTCAGTGGACAGCTTAGGGAAAGCCATCCCGCCAGCGTCCGCCGAAAAAAAAATCGCCACTTGCCGCCCAGTCACGGACGAGATTAGGTTCCGTCTTTTCTCGCGGTGTTGGGGCGGTTTTCCGTCTTTTTCTTTTTGTGGTGGAGATGTCTTCTTTTTGGTGGAGGTGCGGATTTATCATTGCAGGAGTCATTGGTGTTCGAATTCGGGCAACAAGTAAGACATACGGCAGAAGAGAACTTCTATATAAAGCATTCTCTTGGATGCTTTAAATCTGGGTTTGTTCCAAATTGTTCCAATAGAGACTCTGATCCGTCAGAAAGGGAGGTGGCATGCAGAAGTCACGCAGAAGTGCCGTCTTTCATTTCATGCGGGTTGCAGGGACGAGGGTCTTTCATGCGGATTATATGGCATATGTATGCCCTCACATGGTTTCTGACCACGGCTACGTGGCTACATATTACGCAGTGCATACAGTACAGCGCGAGTTTTAGGTGGGAGATAGAGTGGCCACAGGCTAGCAGGTGACATCTCCCCCTAGCATCTCCATGTGTGTTGGTCCTTATGAATGGACGGCTCAATCAACAAACCTTTACCTTGGCATTGACTCATGTGAAGTCGATGGATGGAGGTAAGATTTATTTGTCAGACATTCCTTACTTGTTTTCAGCTTCGTCTCATGAACCATGTGTGGAACAATCGTTTAATTCCTTGCGAATAACCGGTTGTCTCAGGAATAAACCACCAAACAACCATCTCCTTCATCCTCAGCTCGCTCTTGGATGGCGAACACAGCCCAGGCATAACCCTATAAACCAACAAAAAGAATCGCCGGAAGCTCAAGCGGCAGACCGGGGGCGACTACGAACGGCGGGAGGGCGCGCATCGAACGGCGGGGAGAACGAACGGCGCTCGAACGGTCGGACGGTGCTACTGGCGAGTTGGTGTTGGTGTTGGGGATCGCAGGACCCACATACCAGGACCATCCTGTCTAAGTGTCCTTTCTTGGACACCCCTTGGACACCGAAAACAGGATGGTCCCTGGTAGAGGGATCTTGGGAGGAAAGAGCCAGGAACATGACGACGACCGAAGCGACGAAGGAATTCGACGTTGACCCGGTCTCCATCAATTGAATTGGGAAGAAGGGCAGATGCTATGATCTATGATGGTACACACCAGAGTGGATATATCCTGGATGATGGTGATGCCATACTTTGTCCATAGACGTTTTTCAACAGAGAATACTAATTTAAACGTAAGCGCGATACAACGGAGCAACAAAATGAGTCAACCCAACAACCAACTGAAAACAAGACTCCCAGGAAACGAGGAAATCCTTTTGTTCTTGCTTGCTTTCTCTGATTGTGCACGAAATGCACAATGAACGCTCAATACTATCCATTTTTGTGCAGCTATCTAGGAAATTTGCTAATCATCGCACCCAGCTAGGAAAAAAAGACCCTGGCAGAGCCCCCAAGAGTAGGGTCCCAAACGAACGGTAGTAATACACTTCCACTCACTAACATGAAAGTGTAAAATATTATCCTTTGTGAGTGGAACATGGTTTTCCAAAGGGGCACAGCCGCCAGTTGTTCGAGGAACCAGCTGGTCATGCTTGTCTAATTCACTTGGATATTCGCAGGTCTTCGGTCGCGCTTTCGATTCGCGGGTCTTCGGTCGCGTTTTCAGGGGTCGATTCGGACCGTTAGCTCCGACACGTCCCAGCCTGGCGCCCTCTGCAGCGGAAGGTTTCTATACCAGTCTCGACTGGTGCTGCGTCCGCAGCCCTTTACTGAGGCTGGATGCCTGGGTTCCAGGATCAGATGCTTTAGGCTATTGTAAAGAGTCAAAAAGGACTCTGAAAGGGGGGTTCCTACACCGGCTGGGCAGGGGAAGTCTGTGTTGAAACACTTGCTTTATTATCTTTATTCTTTCCTGTTTGGATGGTGTTTTGGAACCAAGATGAATCTGGTGTTTGGTGGAACATGGCCTTTCTATGTTTAAAAAAGAACACATCTTTTTGCCTGCTCAGTCGTGGACGACGGAGCAGCTTGGATCCACTTAGCTCCACAATGTTCATAGATGTCCTGCCGTGCCTGGGTAGTGCCTGGGTAGTCTGTCCAAAAAAGAGGGGGATCCTTCAGCAAGCACGGTTGCCGCGCATCAGAGGCAAACCTTCAGGTACTTGCTATTGTCACGTGGATTTGGTATCAACCCCTTGGTTTCGAACTTAGGATGGAATGGGATGGGACACGAAATGAAAGGAACCATAATGAACCTATTTGGCCAGGACAGGCAAACCCTTGAACCTCCATCCAATTACTTGAACCTCTTCATTTTGTTCCACTCACTCGCACCCAGTCCTGTGCGCCAACGTTCGGCTTCTGACGATGCCCAGGTGTGAAGCACTGACTTTTCACTTCAAGCCGCTTGGGATGACACTGAGGGAAGGCACCAGCAAAGAGAGAGGTTCCCGGTCCGCGGTTGCAGCGATGGACCGAGATCACCATCTGGATGAGACCAGGTCTCGGGACATGGAGCGAGACGGAGTGTTGGATGGAAAGAAGGACCCTTTTTGGTGGTGGTTTTGTCCGGAGATGCGAGGCGTGGGCGGAACCAACGGCCGAACCGGCCGGGACGTACCCGGGGTTGGATCTCTTTGGACTCCGACGTAGCGAAAGACGAGCACCGTAGACTCCAGATCCACCGTACAGCAGCGCAGTACCCGTGGTGGTTCCTTGTGGCAGTTCATCCTTGGCCCTTGGCCCATGTCCCTTCTTTGAATTCGCATGTGGCCACCACCATACTGCCAAGGTACAATGGCTGGAGTTGCCTGGCCGCACGAAAAAGTGTGTCAGTCCTCCTCTTTGAGAACTTGGGTTTTTACACTGCAAAGGAACTTAAAGAGGACCAGTCTGAGCCTCTTGGGAGAAACGTAATTATCTATGTGGAAGGCAGCTGGATGGAGCAAGAGCTTCAAGAAGGGCCAGAATAAGGATTTTCCAAAGATTTGCAAATTTCACCAAGCTGTGTTGCTACTGTTGAAGGAGCTATGCGCCTCAAATCAACCTCCAGGGTAGGTTTGTCTAGACTTCCGTTCCTTCACTTACATCAGACCCAGTGGAACATCAGACCCCTCACTCCTTTGCACCACTTTCACATGCTTCACTCCTTCTTCCAATTCTTCAGATGCGACGTTCGCCCTTCTTCTCAACGGATCCCTTGAGCTCGTGCCGGTCACCCGCGGACCGTGGTGTTCGGACCGTCCCCAGGTCCCTCAGTTTGCGTCATTGCGCCCCGGGACGCGGGGCAGACAACGAGTTGCACCGAGACGGTGTGGGAGGGTGGTGAGTGAAAAGGATATCGACACGGATTGAAACCTTTCCTTTTTCTTTGTGTGTTGGAAAGGTGATCTTTAACATGGATGGAGATCGGAAATGGTGCGTAAGTTTTTGCTCGTTCTGCACCAGCATTTTTGGGATTCACAGAACTCTATCATAAGTGGTGGGATAGTTCCCTAGGGAGGAATTTCTCAAGGGAAGCACGGCTGGACTATTGATTGGTTGTTCTATTCCATCTACTTCAGAAGGACAATCTACTATATGCATCTTGCGAGCTGCAAAAATCCCAGTTCACCCCGGACCCCTTTCCATCCAATTCACCACGAGGAAAAACCCATCGGCACCCGTCTTCCCAAACGCCGCCTCGCGTGCGTTTTCGCAAACGGCACGACGTGCTGCGGCGGAGTCGACCGGGGTGGAACTCACCTCCGTGCTGTCCGGATCGTGCTGTGTTGAAGCCACGGAACCCCCGTGCCACCTGGGGGTTCAGCGGTTCAGCCGGGCGCCAGGTACGTGGGTGACCTTCACCCTGATGTCACCGAGGCGGAAAGAAGACGACGGACCTGGGCCGTCTCGGGCCGCCAGGGAGCCGACTTCCCGGATGAACAAGGGTAAGAAAAGGGCAATCCAGGAGAAGACCTGGTGGAGATGTAGAGGAGAAGACCCTAGTGATTCATTGAAGGAGCAACTCATGGGAGTTCGGAAGTCTGACATCCAAGACCATCCCAAACCAGCCCACAATCTCCTACCAGCCCGCCCGGGTTCAAAGCAGGACACCGGAACTGCAGCGGTTGAAGCCTCCTCGCACCTGCCTCCTCGCAGCTTCGATTCGACTTCGATCGCAGGCCATGCTCTACGAGATCTTCAACTCTGTTGGTCCCGTGGCCTCCATCCGTGTTTGCCGTGACAGCGTGTCGCGGAAGCGCCTTGGCAGCTGCGGGAAGCGGAAGGTGGCCAGTGGAACGGAGGTGGGGGGTGCGGAAAGGGGGACGGGAACTGGACGGCAGGAGGAAAGGATTGTAGACTCTTGATGAATGAAACCCTCTCATTTGGATTGTAAAACCTCTTCAGGCCAGGGCGTTGGGGGGCTTCTTTTAATCAATGAGTCGACCTTAGGCCGGGGAGGTGTTGCCACTGGGAGGTCGCCGCCGACTGTGGGAGGTGAGAACTCAACACCAAGGTGGTTGGAGCTGAGGTGGATTTCGCATGAAGTTGGGGTGAGACCCAACGAGACTACAGGTCCCATATTTGTTCACCAACCCGAAGGGACCTGGCAATCATTGTTCCAAAAGAACCAAAGAAGTGCAGTGCACAGTGCATCGTCCAATCGTTGGACCCAGAGCGCTGCATTTAGCAGCGGGGCACCAATCGAATCCTTCAATCCTTGGCAGCTCCCGTTTATGATCTTCATCAAGTTGAGATTCTTTCCGACCTGAAGGCATTAAGGGCGCCGGGGCAGGACGTCGAATGCGCATTCGTCCGTTTGATTGAGGTCTTTGGGCTACGGCCTCTGGGCTGAAGAGAAGTCTGCAACGTTTTCTCTTTTTTGTTTTCACGAACTGGTCGAACGTCCCATGGTCGAAGGGCAAAACAAGCTTGCGGTGGGGAGAGAGCACTTTGCTACCAATATATATATATAATATATACCCTAGACGTCCAAAGCATATTCCTTTTCGGGTCACCTAAAAACAATTCTTTTTATAGTCTTTGACTCCCAGGGTATATATACTGCATGAAACTGAGAATCCAACAATAGTGGGGCCTGCAAGATTGCAGCGCCAATCCAACTCCGAGTCGGCACTTGTCCCGGTGTCTGACTTGGATGCCCCGCCTTGCATGCCAAAGCGACGACCTCACACAGGGGTCTTGATATTTTCTTATCTATATATCGGGCCGGAGTTTTTGTCATCAGGGTAGAATAGATTTTGATCCTGCATAGTAGGTCCATAGCGATTCGATTTTCACGGGAGGGTCTTGAAGTGGATCCCTCCGAAGCAGTCGAAGTCTGTACTTCGGCTGTCGGTTCATAAAAAGATCACAGAAAGACCGCTTGGAGTCACTTCCGCACCCGTCTACAGAGGCCATCTGGGGCGCCTAGTGATGAGAATCGGTTGTATCAAGGATTTCACTGAGATCTCAAAGGATCATCCTCTCACATCCATGTTTGAATCTTTAAATCCATCCATTTACTTCTCGGTTCCATGAGACCTTCATCCACCAGGCTTCGGCCATCCGAATCGGAGCGCAAGGAAAGGACACGACGCGGCGCACCGACACACACACACACACACACAGATGCCCCAACAGGCGCACCGTGTGAAGCGCGCACCGAGGCTATGTGAATTTTCACTCGGTGAGCGATGCGGAGCGTGCCCTGGACACTCTGAACTATTCTGCCATCAAGGCACTTGGGGGTCACACGCGCTGCTGCTCCAATCTTCGGGCAGGAAGAAGAAGAGATGACCGGATCGGTGGTGCTCCAAAAGAGATTATGGGTCTTTCAGTCTCTGTGCTGGATGTTGGAGGGGGTTGGTGGGCCACCGAAAACAGGACTGGAAGGAGTTCTGTGTTTCAAAGTCAAGGAACAGGAGAATAGAGGTGATCACTGAGAGTGGCTGCTTCTGCCGTCATGTTGGCAGGGAAGGCGTCAAAGTTGTGCCGGGCACGAGGTGTAATTAGCATGCACTAGAATCCTAGACGAGGTGGGAATAGAAAACAGATGCTTGGGAGTGTCAACTTCTCAGAATTCGGAAGTGATTGCAGTCAGCCCCCAACATATCCCTTCCAGAAACACTTCTCCTGTGGCTACTTTTCGCACGGTAAGGAAAGGAACAACGACTTTTCTTGCACCAAACAAAACCACTTGATGAAAGAAACAGATCAAGAACACCTTCGATGCGGACCCACATAGCCTTGTTCAGAAGCCCTTTCTTATGACCCACCCCACTTCTTATCGACAAAAGCATGGCTTTGGGTCACACCGGCAAAACTTTCGGAGAGGAAGAACAGAACAGACTTCCTGGGAGGTCAAACTACCAAGGCTTGGGGCTCTGGCTTTCGACTCGGCGAAGAACGCTTGCGGAGTCCCAAATCCGTCCCGGTTGCGTGCGAACCCCCCCCGGTTGGAGACGAACGCAGGATGTCTCACCTTCCGCCCCTGCCCAAGAGTGTCGAGACACGTCACCCTTGAACCCGCCAGGGGCGCGCGTGCCGCATCATGTGGAGCCAGCGTGATCCCAGCCTCCGCAAGAGCTGCTCGGCCCCAAAGGAGTTGATCAAGCCCTGGAATGAGGTTCCTGGAGTGAAAGTCACCTGTTTGGTATGAGGATTTCATGGTCATCCAAGTGTGGGCCATGCCATCCAACCATGCTGATTCCAGGGAGTGTACACAAAGCCGCCCGCCACCAGGAAAACGGCACGGGTAGAAGACCCCCGGCGCGGAAGGACAAGGATTTTGTGAATTGATTTCAGGACGTCTAGGGGACGCAGATGTAGGATCGAGTTGACACTAAGGTGATATGTGACGACCTGTGTGACAGGTGACCTATATGTGTGTCTCATAGGTCGTAACTTGCATATCTATGTCATGCTCTCTTCTGCCTCTCCAGCTTCGACCTAAAGGTTTTCTCCAGGTCGGAAGGGGGTTGGTGGAAGGGAAACGCCCCACAGAGGTCGACGTGTTCGTCTCAGCTGGAACCAGAGCACCCCAGCTTGGACGCCACTTGTGAACCTGGTTGTGATGCGGTCCCTGGTTTTAATCGACACAGAAGCCGCACCGGGGGGCTGTCTAGATTCTATGAGACACAACTGTGTCATCTTGGGTCTGGGTGACACGTTCAACCTAGAAGCAGACAAGGAACATGCCTTTTTCCGCTTGCTAACACGTTGGAACTGCGACCCAGGTGGCCTGGGCAACGTGTTTGCGTGGAGCCCATGAGAATGTGCCGGTGAGAATGGGACGATGAAGAGGGTTCATTGTCCTTGAAAAACCCATCGTGCCGGGCTCACTGTATTGTAGGGCATATCCGTTAGAACCATGTGCGTGTTGTTCTGGTTTAGGCTTTGTGATAGGTCGCATTGACCTATCTATGACGACTATGACAGGAAGGCCCCATCCTTTTCCATCATTTTCTTCTGGAAATTTGTAGTGTAAAAGGTCTTCAAACTGCTGTTTGACAGGAAGTGCGCATTCTGTCAGCATTTCATTCAGCCTATGGCTGTTCTGTTTGAGATCCCTTGTCACCAAAGCGCAAATAAAGACACCCACTCTCCTGTCTCTCCAGCGCAGCGCTTTGCAGAGAGCTCGCTCCGTTGCGCCCTGCGGTTTCTCCTGAGGTCCGAAACCTGGACCGGAACATTGACAACAAAGCGCTCTACGACACCTTCAGCCTCTTCGGCAACATCCTGTCCTGCAAGGCCCGGAGGAAGGGGTTTTTCGAAGCCGAGAGGACGGCCGGCAGCCGTTCTTTTGGGAATGAAAGGCGGTTCGGAAAAGAAACGGTTGAAGGCGAAGAGTGCAGCTGGTGAATCCTGAGTGGAAGGATTTTCTCGTTGATCCACTTCTAGAGATGAGGTACTTCCGATTCTGGCTGCAGAAGCAATATCAGAACTCCTAGAATTACTGTATTGCTGGTACCTGTCGGTGTTCTTCCCGTTTGTTTAGGTCTAGGCTGTGCCTGTTGCATTTGTATCGTTCACCTGTGTTTATTTTTTGGGCCTGGTCCAGGTTGTTGGGTTTGAAAGAAGTTTCTTTGACATGCACTGGGGTGCCACCTCTCCACCTTCGTTTGATTTGGGTTGGCTGCGTTGGGTGTGCTTTTCAGTTGGGCTGGTTCTAGATTCGAGTTGCCTTACCTTTTGCCCTTATGTATATATTCCCTTCATGGTTTCCTTTGGTTTTGGCTGTTTTGGGGCTATCTCTTTTTCCTTTGGTTGGTTCTAAATCTGCAACTGCACGCAGATTTCATAGGGTTTTTCATAGGGGCCTGTGTGGCGTGAGACAACACGCATGGACCACTACAGTGGAAGGAGGATCCGAAATGAGGATGGGTCAAAAACTGGAGCCCGACCAGTCCATTATGTAGCGGGTGAACGACCGACACGTCGGCCTTTTGAGACCTACCCACAGCCAAATCAGTGGGTCCATCCGCTTCTGGATCGGAGTCTGAAAGCGAGCTGCGATGGTTGAGGAAGCATGTTTTTGTTTTTTTTTCCATGAAAAGGAAGAGGTGAAGTAAGGTCTGTGGTAGAGGGAAGCAATAAGCTGGTGGCGCAGTTGGTGGCGCCCTTTTGGTGGGCTCTTGGACTGTTCGTGATGGGTTTTTACAGATGGATGGGACCAAAGAGAGGTTAAGTGACCTTATGGGACCCTACTGGGGTGCGAGTTGTGGTTCTTAAGAATAACTGCTCCTACACGACACAGCTTATGGGACCCTACTGGGGTACCAGGGATAGTCTATAGTCTATAGGGGTCTTCAACCTTTGTTGGATGTTTTGTCTTGTATGTCATACAGTATGTGTTAGAAGAAGATACCTCTTCCACCCCCCTGGCCCCCGGTACCAGTCAGGTGTTGACATGATCAGGATGTTGTTGGTAAGGCCTGCCACCTAACCATCATGATCATACTGTACACTCCCTGAAATACTCCTCATGTAGTGGAGGTTCTTCACTATGATCTCGTGTTGGGCGCGTAGGTGTCGACGGGACCGGACGGAAAGTCCCGTGGCTATGGCTTTGCCCGGGAGCCACAGGATCCAGACCACGAAGCCGAAAGGACAGGACTGCAGTAGGATTCAGGACTGCAGTTCGGTTTAGAACTGCAAGAACTGCAGGACCTATGGATTTTAGGACCGGCTCCAACTCTTCTGGTCTTGCTCCAAATATATAGGGCCAGACAGCTGGTGGTGAAGAGGTAGATGTCACACCTGGAGACCCTTGTTGCCGGCGAAGAAAGAGCCGAGGGTTCCAACATGCGACTTGAAGTGGGTTCGGCCAGTCCCCCAAAAGGATAGCCCAAACAGCATGTTTGGTGGCGAATTCACTCTAACAAAGGCACCGTGAACTCGAACCACAAATCCACCAACTCACAAATCCAGCCACGAAATGGAGCAAATCCACCCTCCACATGCCCCGAATATGAGGTGCACTACGAGACCGAAGAGGCAGCAAAGCAGGCGCTGCCACCGGGGCGATTTGGCTGGGTCGCCGAGGTTTCAAATTTTATTCTCACTTGATTCAATGGACAAAGTTGGTAGGAACCCCTATAGAGATCCGACGTTGTCAGGGTTTTTGGGGGTTGGGAAGGTGTTTCCCGTCTGTTTTGTTCGACCCGATCTCTGGGCTGCAGGCTGCAGGCTGATGCAAATGGTAAGACCTCTCATCCAGTGATAGCAACCAGCGATAGCAAGGGGATCCTGCCGCCCTTTTGCATTCCTGTCATGTCTCTCAAACGTGTGGAAAAGACCTATGTAGCACCCTTTTCCGTGCTACATATAGCCGTTCTTCCTCCTTTGCCGAGTGCTTTCTTCGGGAGGGCCCTGGATCCTTTTGTTGGTATCTTCTTGGTACGAAATCACACGAAATCCAAATCATTTGCAGACACAAAAATCGGTCTCGGTCTTTTCCAGGCCATCGAGCGCGTGGATGGCATGCAAATCGGTGAAAAGACCGTGGGGATGCTCAGAGCTTTAAGCGTGGCCGGGACAGGCCCGCTCAGCCGAGCTGCCGGAGCTTGAGCTTGGAAGAGTCGCCCTCTCGCTGGTCATCAGTAGCCGCAAGCTGGAAGATGGGCGATGTCCTTTCTTTCCATGGGTTTTTCTGCAGCACCAGGCTTAAGTTTCAATGTGCAGAGGGGGGAGATGTGTGCAGAGTGCCGGGAAAGAAGTGGCTGAAGGTGCCCGTTTTTCTTCAGGATTCTACTCGGTCAAGCAGGTGTCCACCTGAAGGAGTAGCTGCAAGCTCGCTCAGTCGCCTCACCGCTTTCCATTTGAGCACCCGACGCCCAAGTGAGTTGCTCCACCTCCATTTCCGGACGCCAGAACCGGGGGCTTTTCCACCTCAAGCCAGGCAGCCAGTGCGTCCTGCCCTGCGCCGTCGAAGAACCCCCACGGCTTCGGTGGGCGCGGGTTGGACCCCCGTTCGAGCCACCGTCGTGGCGCGCCGCCCAGGTGGGCGTGGGCGGCTTCACGAAGCGTTCGGAGCGTGCCTGGGGCCGGGAAAAGGACGAGGGTCCGGAGGGTCGTGAGGGTCGGAGACCAGCATAGACCCCAACTTCCCATGGATGGAGCCTCGATTTTGGAGCAAAGCTGACCGGAGAGGGGAGGGGAGTTTGTACTAAGTGACTAATTCAGTCAGGTGTTGAGGGAGTCGATATAGAGACTTCAACTTTTTGCTTTTGGAAGACTCTCCATGGTTCTGAAGAACTGTCGCTTCTTAAAATGACACATCTGGGATTGTTCCTGAAATCAATAAGGGTCAGAAGGGGGAGACCAGTGAACTCACTGGTCTCCAGTCCCTCCTTTTCACCGGATTGTGCTTGCCTTGGGACGTGTATATTTGGATATGGCAGGACGTGGGTAGAGGACACCCGATTGGATCCTTCCAGAAAAGCAGGAGCCAATCGACTGGCGACGAACTTCAGTCGCCACCGATCAGCTCTTTCGGTGGTTGTCGGTTCGAAGTTCCAAGAAGGGGGTGCTTTGCTTTGGAGGTCTCAAAGCCAGACCATTCAGGACCTATTTACTTACATTGGGGTGTTTCCAAAATGGTTCAAAAAGGGGGTGAACATGTACAGCATCTTCCATACACGGATGGTCTGGCTTTCGTCCATCACGGTGCAGTTCGTCCGATTCCACTCGCTGGTGGCGTCCGTCCCTCTTGGGACGCGGGACGCAACCCGGTGCGAGGTGAGACGCCGGCCATGAACACCTTCACCAACGTCAGGAACACTCAGTGTTGGGGGAGTGGGTTTTGGATGAAGAACTCAAATTGGGTGGGCATTGGTGATCGCGAAGAAGAGGTCAGGTTTCGCGAGTCGACTTGTATCTTTGTCGTTTTTCAGCGAATCTTCAACCTCGGTCGTCGCAGATCCCTACGTCGTTGCTCTGGTGAAGCCTCGAGAGAGAACGTCGCCCCCTTTGACCAATAAAGAAAACAACAGGGCGGATGGACCGAAGGACCACCGGAAGGACCCCCCGTCCACCGGAAGGTCGGCAAGGAACACGTGTCCCCCCTAGGGGAAAAAAGCCTGTACACGGCTCCCCCTCCGGGCCACAGATGGATCTGGGATCTCCATCTCCACATCGAAAACTCTCGCCTGAGTTGGGTTGGTCGGTCCATGGACGTCGTACCCGATTCTTCGTTAAGCCCCTTCAACCGTCGAAACCGAGCTCCGGATCCTGAAGGGTCTCACAGGAACACCGACCGGAACACCGGCCCAGGAAGAGACTGGGGAACACCCAACAAAACACATCAAAACACCAGAAGGGACAATCCCTATCATCAATCATCACCCGTCATCCATCCTCCTCCTCCTCGTCATCACCATCATCATCATCACCATCATCATCATCACCATCATAATCATCATCATCATCATAATCATCATCATCATCCATCCATCCATCCATCCATCCCGCCATCCATCCATCCATCCATCCATCCATCCATCCATCCATCCATCCATCCATCCATCCATCCATC